CACAGGGTGTACGTGTCACACAAAGCGTGAAGAGAGGTAATCGCCACAGACCGGCGTGACCCATAAGTACAAGCGTATCAGTTTTAAAACTATGTGACCAGTGACCATTGAGTAAGATAATCGATAATGTCTCTGATTTTGGTTTGTGGGTGGACCTCTAAGTCTTGCAAGATCTTTTTGTTTGTTGCATCTCAGATTTTCCACATAGTAAGATGCAAAATGAAGTTGATGATTGTGTCTGACAGGATATTTAGCATCGCAATTGAGAATAATAAAGTTGTTGATGCTACATTGTAGTACCAAGTAATTACCATGGGATGTAGCCACAGGTTGGCATGGGCAGTGGCGCTCTGCATCTCGGCAGGAGCCGCTCGAATGGCGACATGGACCTCTTTGGCAACGCCGGCGATGTCCCTCGAGATGTCCATCCCGCTGGGGTGGTATCCTATTACCACCACGACCTAAGCTAGTCACGAATAACATACAATTAACATGCAGTTGTTCCTCATGTGCTACCGGTCAGTCAAAAATTAACAATAAATTCAGATGATGCAAGGATTATATTCCCTTCTTTTTTATTTACTCGGCATATTAGATTTGCCTTAACCCTTAAGTCATTCTTTGTCCAACTTCATACAAAAACATTAGCATTGAAATACCAAATCAATATATTTGATTCATCGTTGAATATATTCCCACTTATTATTGTAAATGATTATATTGTCATCTATCTAGTTTAGTATAAACAAGCTAGGTAAGACTTTACAAAGTTCGATTTAATTAGGACAAAGCTAGTATGAAAGGTAAGATGAAAACAAAGTGAGTAGATGAGACGCACTTGGCCGTGGAACGGGTCGGGCACACGGTAGCTGTGGCTGTGCAGTTGCTTCCCGGGCCAGCCGCCTATGCCTGCACATCATTCATCTCGCTACATCGATCCACATCGCCATGAAAATGTCTACTAGTAACTTCACTGACCAGTACAGCATGCAACAGTATGTAAGATGAGTGACTGGCATGGAGCGATGCATTACCGGCGATGTCCGCGAGGAGGGGCTCGGCGAAGTGGCCGTTGCAGACGACAACGGCGTCGAACACCTCCGACTGCTCCTCCTCCTCCTGTAGTTCCCCGCCGGCGAGCTTCCTCGAGCAGTAGGAGACCGTCCAGCCCGCCGCACCCGCGCCCACGCCGTCGACCCTGCTGCGGCGGACGCCGACCACCTCGGTCTGGAGCCGGACCAGCCCAAGGAGATCGAAGCGCCGCGCGAACGTCTCGAGGTATCGGAGCACCTCCTGGTGCCCGGGGAACCTGCGCGGGTCAATGGAGCCCTCATCGGCGACGAAGGGGAAGTCGAGGAAGCCCATGGACTCGCGGGGCAGGTTGGTGCGGAGGGATGCGTAGAGGCTGCCGTGGACGCCGCCGGCGCCGAGCGGGTCCGCCGAGGCCGCGTCGTCGTAGCGCCAGGTGCCGCCCACGCCGACTGCGCGCTCGAAGACGACGGGCGCGGCGGAGCCAGAAATTTTGGCCGATGGGTTCATTCATTGACTTATTGTGAGGATTTATCATCAAATAATTTTGTTAAGTCTAGTTTTACACCGCCTTATATAAAGAAAATAGAAGTCTCTTTAAAAATAATAATACTAAAAATTCATAATAGACACAAAAATGATATCACTTATCATAGATAGTTATTACATCAAAACTAAAGAAAGCAAGACATACCTGCTAGATAAAATTGTAAAAATCACCTGTTTAGAAATAGAGTAGTACCAAAGTAACTTAATAGCTTCATGTGCAGATTCCCATCCTTCTAAAAACATGGAAAAAATGAAAAATTAGTTCGACCAGCTTAAAATAAGTAACATAAAACAAAATAATCATATAGAGTCACTCACATTTTAGAGTGCCCCTTTTCGATCTGTCACCAATAAACATATTAGCTCTCTCTGAATAGAATATTAGACTATGGCTCATAAACTGATCTCCAATTTTATTGCGCAACTTTTTCTTGACAACATTCATAGTGAAAAGTATCTCTTAGACAGATGTTGCGGCAACTGATAATACCAGTACTATCTTTAGAAATTGAGAGAACACTGGTCTCCCTGTTAAATATCTTCACCTAATCTTGTCTCGCTTCTTAGAATTTCTTGTGTATTATGAAATTCTCTACCAATTAGCGGAATCATAAGGCAACTCATCCAAATTAATTTCTCTTTGAATAGAAGGCTTTGAAAGACTGTTTGCAGCGACAACATTTGATGCACCTCGCCTGATGGGTGGCCGTGAAATGCATCATCATTTGGATCTGTCGATCCATTTTTTTAATTCCATAACCTAGATCAGCCAGTACGTGGAGTATAAACAATTAAAAAATTAGGGTACACATGATAGAGAAGCAACGTGGTGATACGATCTCAGCACCTCGAATATGGAGTTTTGCACAACAATCGCCGAGCGCCGGCGCTGCGGCCGACCTGCCGGTGTCTGACGGCCGATCGAGGGCGAACAGGAGAAATAGACGGAGAGGCGAACAGGAAAGACAAGTCTTGGTTCGTGTACTGCGGCTGTGGACCTGCGGTGAAGAATAAAATAGGGGCACCAACAGGCTAGGTACAGACCCAATTTATTATTGGGCTTTTGGGCTTTTTTTATTAGGCTGTTTTCTTGGCGTTGAAACTTAATGGGTTCAACCCTTGTTTTTCATTGGGTTCATAGCAGTATGTACGTATGTACGTGTACTAGACCAGGAAAGATCGTTGGGTTCATCTGAACCCAACGCTAGCATGCTGGCTCCGCCTCTGGGGCGCGTGGCCCTCCCGCCGCAGCTCCCGCGCAGCCACCAGGCCGGCCGCCCCCGCGCCGATCACGGCGACGCGGCGCGATGGCATCTGAGGAGGAAAAGTCTCCAAGTCTCGGCTGGCCTGCTCTCTCGTCGTCGCGTGTGTCGTCTTCTTCATATGGAGCAGTTGATGGAGCTGGCTATTTTCCTCCACGAGACTGGATTCCCTTATTTGTACCGCCTCCGTTTCAAAATACTTGACTTTCATTTGTTTAAAAATGGATATACCTTATACTAAAACATGTCTAGATACATCTATATTTTGACAAATGAAAAGCATGCATGGTGGAACGAAGGGAGTACTTCGAGATGTGTGCGCTTCACTGCAGCCAATGACTTCGTTGCCAGCTTTGTTGCCTCGTTAAGCCCAAGAATAAGGGGGTGTTTGTTTACAGGAGACTTATTGGTGTAGGTACTTTAAAAAGTTTTTTTAGTTTCATCTAGACCAAACATAAGGGACTTATAGAGACTTAAAGTGGTCATTTGGGACTTATGAAAAAAGACCTTGAGGAAGAGTTTTTTGGGACTTTTAGTTGTAACATGGTTTTTTAATCCATGTTTAGTCACAGGAACCAAACAGATGGGGACTTTTTAGGAACTAACGACTTTTTAGTTGGGACTAAAAAAAGTCCTAAGACATATGAACCAAACAGATTTGGGTCTAGTCTAGCACCGCCTCTCTCTAGACCAAGACTGACTTTGCATGTGCATGTAGTGCGAGAGAGAGACAAAGTTTGAACAGGGACATGTGATTTGCTTCGTTGGTTATATTTGCTGTTTTTGAATCACGGGCTGGACAACGACCTGGCTATATGCTGGGAATCTGTACTGTTCACGTAGACAGGGATCTCTCAGGCCAACTCCACCGTGTGACCCAAATTTATCCCAAATCGTCCGTTTGTGTCCGTTTGGGGTAAAACAGACAAACCGAACGATCCAACGCATGGGAGCATACGGACATTTTGTCCGGTCCGTGTCCGCTTTTGCCTCATTTTCAGAGCAAAGTTGCTCTCGGTTTGGGGCCAAAGCGGACAGAAAGCGGACGTCTTCGCGTCCTCGTCGTCCGTCTGTGTCCGCCCTCGCCCCCACCTGTCACTCTCTCCTTTTCTGCACCTGGCCCACCACGTGCACCCACCATGGACAAAATCCGAACAAAATATAGGATAGCAGCGGTGGGTGCAACGAGTTTGTCCGGCCTCTGTCCGGCGTTTATTCTCCCTATTTCTACCCCATACGGACAAAATCCGGACAAAATGGGTATAGATTTAGGGTCGTGCGGTGGAGTTGGCCTAAGACCATGACAAGTTCTGTCACCGCATGCAAAAGAACAATGGACAAGCCGCACCCACAATAGTGATGTCAAGTCATCTCTGTCTCCATCGAAAAGGTGCCTAGGACCGGCCCTGTCCTGTCTCCCACTAGTAGAAAACAGGGCTACCGTTCGGGCCTGGCCAGCCCATTAGTCCCGGTTCTTCAAGAACCTGGACCCATGGGGGTATTAGACCCGGTTCATGAGCCCAAGGGGCAGCCGGGGCCTCGTGGGCATTGGTCCCGGTTCGTGTGGAACCATTTGTCCCGGTTCAAGCCACGAACCGGGACCAATGGTCCTCGCTCCTGGCCCACAACCATTGGTCCCGGTTCGTGGCTTGAACCGGGACAGAAGGGGTGGCTTTAGTCCCGGTTCATGCCACGAACCGGGACAAATAACTTGCCTATATATACCCACCGCCGCGGCAGAGCACTCCAGAGTGCTCTGTTTTGTCAAGCCAGCGAGGGGAGGGCATTTGGGTGCTCTAGTTCACCTCCTATGCACATGAGGTGTTCGATGAAATGCCCGAACCACACTAGTTAAGCTTTCTGCTCTCGAAACTCGACCTCCTAGCTCCATTTTCAACGAGATTTGTCTAGATTTAGTGGTCCGTCACGCCCCGTCCCCGCCCCGTCTTCACCGCCGTCGATCGCCCACGCCGATCTTGTTGCCGGCACCACCGTGGTGAGCCTCTTGTTCTTATCTTCTTTCTGAAAGAAAAAAATGTTGACTTCAGATAGATACTTGTATAATTTTCTTACTTTTATTATTCCTTGTTATTATATAGTGCGATGGTTTTGGTATCCGCCCCCGTCGGACCTCGTCCTGTCTATGATTCAGATGTGGTATATATTATCTTTTCATAACTATTTGGTTCATTTATTGTTTATGACAATTATGCCGACCAATGTGACATAGATTTTATTTTTCTAGGAGGTTGTTGAACCGGAAATTACAACCGACCCAATTGTCGAGAGGTTAAATTTAGTTGAAGAAGAAAACAATTACTTGAAGGAAAAAATAAGAAAAATTGAGGAGGAGAAGATGATATTGGAGTTGCATGTTGTGGATGTCGTTGATGATCACAAGATCAAGATTGATGCAATGCGGTTGAAGATTAAAAAGATTAGAAAATATGCCATTCATATCGAGGCTTGGTATGATTATGCAGTTGGATCAGTTGTTACCTTGGTTGCGGTTATGATCGCATTTGTTTTTGCATTGAAATGTTTTACATAATTTCAATGTATGGTTTAATTAGATGCTCTGGAGAGCTATATGTTGTTCAATGAGAACTATGTATGTACTTTGGTTTTAATGCTCTGGAGAACTATGTATGTACTTTGGTTTCAGAGTTCATTTCAAATGCTTTTCAACTTCATGGTCCTATAGCTTTTAATGGTGCATTTTGAATACAGAAAAACAAGGGAGTTCAAATAAGTTCAAAAGAAATGAAATCCCTTTGTAACAGACGAGTTTCCGTATGAAACCCTGATACTTCAAAAGAGATTGTTCGTTTTGTACACGAAGTGCATCCAGTTTTTGCCGTAAACCTATATAGTTTCTCGCACATGCTATGTGGGTGAAATGAAGATACCATTCCAACTTGGAACCTTTTCAGAATTCATTTCAAATGCTTTTCAATTTCATGGTCTTATAGCTCGAAATAATCAGTAAATGCATGAAAAATAACAAATGAAGTCAGAAAGGGTTGTAAATCGATGATGTGGCTTTGAATGGTGCATTTGGAACACAAAAAAACAAGGGAGTTCAAATAAGTTAAAAAGAAAATTGAAATCCCTTTGTAACAGACGAGTTTCCGTATGAAACCCTGATACACTAGTAGAAAAAGGGTCAAATGTGAAGCACAATAGTGTCGGTTTGAATTTCAGCCGGCACTAATGTGTACATTAGTGCCGGTTCGTGGCGGCGATCAATAGCACCGGTTCGTGGCGAACCTTTAGTACCGGTTCATGCCACGAACCGGTACTAAAGAGGCTATGTCAGCCTGCGGTCAGGCTATGGCCCCACGATCACCATTTAGTGCCGGTTCGTACCACAAACCGGTACTAATGAGGTTATGGCAAGCTGTTTTTAGTCCCACCTCGCTCCCCTAACAAGCCTTTTACCACCTTAAATATGTTATTTCTCAAACTATCACAAGCACTTGGTCTTCATTAAACTCTATGTGTAGAATTTGTGGCCGCAATATGAGTCTTCATCGGTTTATAAATCGTTGATGACTCATATTGACAATTCAGATTGTACACACAAAGATCATTGATGATCAAAGTATTTTTGATGTTATAAGATCATATTGACAATTTAGACTGTAAAGATATATAAGATCATGATCTAAATGCTCTTATATTTTTTGCGTTCAGTATGCACCAACTGCTAGGCGGGAGGAGCTGTTTAGTACCGGTTCGTGGCGAACCTTTAGCACCGGTTCGTGCCACGAACTGGTACTAATGAGGGACTAGGAGCGGTTTATAAGCCCTGAGTGTACGATGAAGAAGAGGCTCAATGCTCACGTTGCTTAGCTTCAAGCCTTCAGGAATATGGTAGACTACACGGAGCTATGCGCAGTGCACTTTACACTATTCCGAAAGGCTTGAAGCAAATTAACGAGCATCGCACCTCTTTTTTATTTTTAATAACTTATTACAACTCCGGACAAACTAATTGCACGTCGGCATTTCTTTTTTTAAAACTTTGGTTATAACTCCAGACTTTGACCATCAAGTTTTGCAGAAAAGAAAAAATAGCAGAAAAAAAAACTATAGCTGAAAAGAAAAAAACTATATAAAATGACCGTGAAATTGAAAATCACTACAAAATGAACTCTGAAAATGTTGAATTTTGGCAAACTAGATGAAAAACTACTCAGAAATAAATAGAAGAAAATAAATATAACAGAAAAGAAAAAACTATACAAAAAACTACGCAGAAATAAATAGAAGAAAATAAAGCAGAAAAGAAAAAAACTATAAAAATAACTTATTACAACTCCGGACAAACTAATTGCACGTCGGCATTTATTTTTTTTAAACTTTGGTTATAACTCCAGACTTTGACCATCAAGTTTTGCAGAAAAGAAAAAATAGCAGAAAAAAAACTATAGCTGAAAAGAAAAAAAACTATATAAAATGACCGTGAAATTGAAAATCACTACAAAATGAACTCTGAAAATGTTGAATTTTGGCAAACTAGATGAAAAACTACTCAGAAATAAATAGAAGAAAATAAATATAACAGAAAAGAAAAAACTATACAAAAAACTACGCAGAAATAAATAGAAGAAAATAAAGCAGAAAAGAAAAAAACTATAAAAAAATTGGGGCGCTGCCCTGTGGGCCTGCTAGGCCACGGGCGTGCAATTACAGGCCTTAAAGGCCCAGCAGACTCATAGGGCAGCGCGCAGAATTTAGGCCCACAAGCCTGCTATATAGAGGAGTTCAAAGAGGGAGCCGCGGCTGGGTTTATAAACCAGTGCGGCTGCCCTTCGCCCGGCGAGGTGGGACTAAACTTTGGGGTGGCAGCGCGAGGCTTTTAGTACCGGTTGGTGGCTCCAACCGGTACTAAAGATCACCCTTTAGTACCGGTTGGATCCACCAACCGGTACTAAAGGCCTGCTCTTCCCGCCTGTTGGCCTGGCCAAAGTTGGCCTTTAGTACCGGTTGGTGGCTCCAACCGGTACTAAAGGCCCATCCTATATACATAGCACTTACGAAAATTTCAGTTACATCTCCCCACTTTCGTCTCCAACCTCTCGACATCGCCGCGCGCCGCTCGATCCCGTCGTCGCC